ACCTATGACTTTAGCTCAATTCTCATTCTTAAATGAATCCAAGAGAAAATGGAGGGGTTAACTTTAATATTTCTCTTTCTTTTCTTTTTTTTTTTTTTTTGAGACAGTCTCACTCTATTATTGCCCAGGCTGGAGTGCAATGGTGTGATCTCAGCTCACTGGAACCTCTGCTTCCTGGGTTCAAGCGATTCTCCTGCCTCAGCCTCCCAAGTAGCTGGGATTACAGGTATTTGCCACTATGCCCAGCTAATTTTTACATTTTTAGTAGAGATGGGGTTTCACCTTATTGGCCAGGCTGGTCTCAAACTCCTGGCCTCGAGTGATCTGCCTGCTTCGGCCTCCCAAAGTGCTGGGATTACAGGTGTGAACCACTGCGCTTGGCCCCAAGAAGGGCTGTTTCAATGGCTCTTACGCTAAAAGAATCCTCAGAGCAAGTGAACCTGTCCTTTTCACGAGGAACATTAACAATGCGCTGATGAAAGTGTTCATGGTGCTGCTTTCTGTTGAGTGTCTAGTGTGGCTTGCTCCCCCTTAGGATCCATTTAACCTGAGATGAGCGTTCTAATACCCGCCACCCTCAAATCTTATTCAGAAATTTTTCTTACCAAGAATGTAGATGTAAATTCAGTTTCTACCTCTTGGAAAAGCAAAATGAATGAAACAAAATGGTTAAGAAGGAATCATCCCTGCTACTAAGAGATTTAACTCTTCCTGGCGACATAAAAGAACAGGAATGACTTGTTGGTCTGTGAAGATAATCTCTAACAGGCAAGCCTTCCAAGCTATTCTGTTAATGGAGTTACTAATCTCATACTCAGGTCCTCCATTCCATTCCTCTTATCTAGGCAAAGTCTTTTGACAATGCTACATTTGGAACAACAGTTAGATATGTGGGATTATCACTCACTGTCAATTTTCCAAGCAAGGGACTTAGTGCTCAGTATGAATTGCTTATCCAGTCCCCTGAAGGGAATGGGGTAAAAAGAAGCTGAGAGATCCTAACTGCAGTATTCTAAATTCTGCTAATATTTAAGCCACCGTTTACTGAAAACCTTATGATTAGATATTAAAGACCAGGTGCGGTAGCTCACGCATGTAATCCCAGCACTCTGGGAGGCTGAGGCAAGAGGACCACTTGAGCCCAGGAGTTTGAGACCAGCCTGGGCAACAGAGCAAGACCTCATCTCTACTAAAAAAGAGAAAGAAGAAAATTAGCTGGGCATGATGGCATGCACCTGTAGTCTCAGCTACTTGAGACTGAAACATCTTGAGCCTAGGAGATTGAGGCTGCAGTGAGCTATACTCGTGCCACTGCATTCCAGTCTGAGCAACAGAATGAAACCCTGTCTCAAAAAAGAAAAAGAAATGCCGGGCTTGGTGGCTCATGCCTGTAATTCCAGCACTTTGAGAGGCCAAGGTGGGTGGATCACAAGGTCAGGAGTTCGAGACCACCCTGGCCAATATGGTGATACCCCGTCTCTATTAAAAATATAAAAATTAGCCGGTGTGGTGTTGGTCACCTGTAGTCCCAGCTACTTGGGAGGCTGAGACAGGAGAACTGCTTAAACCCAGGAGGTGGCGGTTGCAGTGAGCCAAGATTGCTCCACTGTACTCTAGCCTGGTGACAGAGTGAGGCTCCATCTCAAAAAANAAAAAAAAAAAAAAAAAGAGAGATATTAATGATGAGCACCAACACAGTAAAATAAAAGTTATCTTAGCTATCAGGGAAAAAAGTAGAAAATGAGAAAGAAAAATTATTTTAGGTGTCAGAATAAAAAGAGGAGAAAATGACAAAGGTCTGTAACACCTACCTCCTTGTGCAATACATGGGTACACGCCATTGGATGCAGCTCACTGGGCTGGACGAGTTTCTGGCACATTAGACACAGCTTACAGGTGGCTGGAGCCTGTGGAACAGAGGAGACATAGTCAAAATGTAAGGAAACTTGCGCCTCCTTGCCATTTATGACTATAATTCCATGCATCAAAATGATTTCTATCAAAAGAAATAAAAATCCAAATATAGATTCTTGCCTAAAATACTTGCATTTTCCCAGTAGGGCTGCAAATAACCCAACTGATGGTTTCTTCCTGCACTCCACCTGTAAACCCACTACTTCCTCACCTCCAGCTTCTCCATACCACACTGTTCAAAGAAAAAGAATCTTACATGTGAAGACCTTCCAGGATATGAAACTTGGGCAGAAGGCAAGAACATTGGGGTACTGATTTGGGCCAGTGGAGCAGGGAACAAGGCCCGGATGCGACCAAGTGGCTGTAACAGAGCATATCACAAAAATCACTTATTTCCTAGTCCAGCAAAGGAAAAAAGCAGACTAACTACCACTGGCTGGAATGCTTTTTCCCACCCCATGTTTTTCTGAAATCTGCCTCCTTCCCACACCTCAGTAGGCCTAAGTTCTCTGCTGAGTAGCTTTCCTCACCTGAGTGCTTGCTGCCACCCGCTCATGTTCTGCCAAACGTGCAGCAACCAACTGGATAAGTTCCTCCATGGTCAGGCCTGCCATGGTGGTACGTGCTGTCTTGATCTGCTGAAGAATGTTGGTCATCTGGGCCCTGAGAAAGAAAAATGTTGAGGGAGAGAAAGCCTACACTATACCCATGGGGAACACCCATGTAACATCCCCTATTTTAACTCATAAGCATTTCTCTGATAAAGGAATTTGAATTAGTCCTTGAAGATACTTACTTATTGCACTGTGGGAACCGAGTCAACAGCTTCTCCAGGATCTTTTCCAGTTTGTCTACTGGTTGTGGCCGGGGAGTTTCAGTAGAAGCCTTAACACCACCCAAGCCTGGGGGAGGCGGGATGGAGGCAGCAGGGGGCATGTGTGGACCGTGGGGGCTGACAAGGGAACCCAAGCCAGGGCTGTTTCTGCCATGGGAGCCAGGAAGGGGTGAGGAAGTCTGGCTGGGCTGGGAAAGGGCAGGGTTCAGGATTGGGAAAGACAAGGAGCGGGGATCTGCACTGGGCATAACCATGGGCATTGTGACCTGCCCAATGGAGAAGGGCATTCGAGGAGCCAGAGAGGGACTGGGTTGAAACACCTGAAGCATGAAGTCTGTCTGCAAAGAAGAAGAGGTAGAGGACAAGAGAGAAAGGAAGAAAAAGAAAGTTTAGGAAACTGGAGAAGAAATCAATGAACAACTCTTGCTGAATAGGGATGGTCACAATATCTTCATAAAAAGAACAAGTACAAGACTCTGCTTCTACTACCAACACAGAAAGGTGAACTTCCCCCCAAAGCCAGCTCTCTTACCTCTGATGGGGGTGGAGGTAAAGTGGGAGTAGGGATTTGAGGAAGGCTGCTCAGCTTGGCTCCATTCCTCACTAACTGGATATGACTATTAAATTGGTCCTAAAAAAAAAAAGGATTATTTTTACTGCTGAACTGAGGCTCTCTAGAAAGACAGCACCGCTCATTATTAGAAAAACAAAAGGAATAGTAGGATAGGCCCTAAACAGCGATAAAAAAGGCTGCCTCCCAATTACAAGAAGTGTTATGCACAGACTAACACTGACTGACTGATCACACATAAATACACTTACACGAACATTTTTTTTCATTATCCGAACTCCATTCAGTCTCGTCCCACTCCTGCTTGGAACGAACTGTCTCCAGTGTTGGGGGAGTTGACCTTTCAACAAACCAACAGGAATTTACAGATTTTAAGAAAGCCCTGCTGGACACAGTGACTCACACCTATAATCCCAGCACTTTGAGACACCGAGGGAGGGGATCACTTGAGCTCAGGAGTTCAAGACCACCCTAGGCAACGTGGCAAAACCCCATCTCTAAAAAAAAGGGCAAAATTAGCCAGATGTGGTGGCTCTCACCTATAGTCCCAGCTACTTGGGAGGCTGAGGTAGGATGATAGCTTGTGCCCAGGAGGCAGAGGTTACAGTGACCCAAGATGGCACCACTGTACAACAGAGGGAGACCCAGTCTCAAAAAAAAAAGCCCAATTCCTAATTCTCTGAGATGGCAAAATAGTAGCTGGTTAATTGACCTTGAGAAAAGAGGTGGGAACAGGTGTAGGAGAAGCCCAAGATTCTAATTCCTTTGCCTCACTTTAACTCCAGTATCTTTTAAGCCAAGTTTTTGAGAAAGAGAACCAACCACAGTGAGAGGATTCTTGTCTGCCTGAAAATGCCACAGGGGTCCTCCAAGTTCCATGGCAGAAAGAAAAAGAAATGACTACATAGGAAAACAAATCTCCAAAGACCACTCTCATGCTTTGATAGGTTAACGGATGCTAGCCATTTTTTATTTTTTAGAGACAGGGTCTCACTGTCACCTAGGCTGCGGTGCAGTAATGCAATCAAAGCTCACTGCGGCCTCGACTTCCTGGGCAGACAAGTGATCCTCCTGCCTCGACCTCCCAAAGTGCTGAGATTACAGGAGCATGCTATTACATCTGGCTTTCACAGAGTGTTAAAGCATTAAAAAATACAAAACTATAAAACTGTAGAAGGGAAGAGTTAGAGTACAGAAGTTCATAGTATGGGAAGAGAAATCGCTGTAACTGCTATTGCAGTCAGAGATAGCCTTACAATTCCTCTGAAGATAGAGTAAGTGTCAGACTTGCTGGCCTAGGAATTCAAAAACCTAAACAAACAAACAAACTGCAAGACAATTAAAGCTGTAGAATGGAAAGGTACCTACTTGAGGTAAGTAAGGTGCAATTCTGCCTCTTTTTCTGCTTCTTCTAGTTTCAGTACCAATAACTCTTTCCGGCTTTCTAGTGATAAGATCTAAGGAAGCCACACACATATAAATATTAATTTTACATACACAAAGCTACAAATGAAACAGTGAAAACAAATGCTTACTGGCTCTCCTATTACAATGCCAAAAGTAGATACCATTTAGAAGCCTAAAATTAAGGCTTTCAAGATATCAGCTGCTCTTCTCACCTCTGCCTTCCAGGCACGTTCAGTCTCTTCCATAATGTTCCTATTTATTTCACCATCCTGATTCTTAAGTCTATCCAGTTCCATTTCCCACACCTCTCTGTAAGATAAGAAACCAAGAAAAAGACTAAGAAAGAAAGATAAGCTTGTTGAGAGACACCAAAGCAAAAGTAAAACCCAAAATTGGTCAGCCGAGTGTGTTACAGGAAGTCTTACTCTAAGTATTAACGATATTTATTTTTCTTTCTTCTTATTTTTTGCTAATCAAAAGAGAGTTAAAGTATCAAATACAGATACAGACAAATAATGTTTAAAGTGGTCTGCCATTGCATAAAGGCGCTGTATTTGAAAGTAAAAATGTTGTGGCCGGGCATGGTGCCTCATGCCTGCAATCCCAGCATGAGATATTATGTAATCCCAGCATAATCAGGAGTTTGAGACTAGCCTGGCCAACATAGTGAAACCCCATCTCTACAAAAAATATACAAATTAGCTGGGCATGGTGGTGCACACCTGTAATCCCAGCTACTCAGAAGGTTAAGGCAAGAGAATCACTTGAATCTGGGAGTCAGAGGTCGCCGTGAGCTGAGATCGTGCCACTGTACTCCTGCTTGGGCTACAAAGTGAGACTCCATCTCAAAAATAAAAAGTAAAAACTTTTATATCTCCACTTGCTAAAATAAGGTTACTTAGAGCAGGAAAAAGAGTGCATCTTAGAACAAAAGCCCTCCATTGAAGGCAGAACATTCTTCTATGTTCAAGAGGATTCAAAATTATCATGGTATTCTGCAGTCTTCTTTCCCAACATGTCTTTTAGTATGGGTCCTGAAGAATGTGGGACCAAATACAGGTGTCCACTTTTTTTTTTTTTATAGACAAGGTCTCACTCTGTTGCCCAGACCAAAGTACAGTGCTATGACTTTGATTCACTGCAGCCTCAACCCCACGGGGTTAAGCAATCTTCTTGCCTTAGCCTCCCAAGTAGCTGGGACTACAGATGCATGCCACCACCCATGCCTGGCTAATGTTTATTTTTTGTAGAGACAGGGGTCTCACTTTGTTCTACAGGCTGTTCTCAAACTCCTGGGCTCAAGCCATCCTCCCACCTCAGCCTCCCATGGTGCTGGGATGACAGGCTACTTGGCCTGGCCAGAGGCGTACTTTAATATTCATCCTTAATAAAGCAAATCACTAATTTGCTACTAAACACACTGATGCAAGCGTATTAATTTTCAAATTTTCCTAGCTATAGTAACTATGCTTCAAAAGGAAACAGTGTTCTCTTGTTCTCTTCATACCTCAGGACTTCTCATTTTCCTTGGTTACCTCACTCTTACATGCTTTCCCCCCACTCAGCATTAGAGGGACCAACTGTCCTGGTTTGCCCAGTACTGAGGGATTTCCCAGGATGGATAACTTTCAGTGCTAAAACTGGGATGGGTGATCACCCTACTCAGAACTGAAGAGGCCATTAAGCAATACCATTAAAGCAAATTCCATTAAAGGAATTTCCTTATATTACATTTGATTGTGGTAAGTTTTATAGCTGGAAGCCCAGATTACCAAGATCAGTGGACAGAATATGATGAAAATACTGAAATTATCTCCCCTACATTTTAAAAAGGTAAAAATAAGAAGAAAAGCTTGGGAAGAGTTACATCTTTTTTTTTCCTTTGGAGACACAGTCTTGCTCTGTTGCCAACGCTGGAGTGCAGTGGCATGATCTAGGCTCACTGCAAGAGATTCTCCTGCCTCAGCCTCCTGAGTAGCTGGGACTACTCAGGCGTGTGTCACCATGCCCAGCTAATTTTCTGTATTTTTAGTAGAGACGGGGTTTTACCATGTTAGCCAGGATGGTCTCAATCTCCTGACCTCATGATCCGCCCTCCTCGGCCTCCCAAAGTGCTTGGATTACAGGTGTGAGCCACTGCACCCAGCCAAGGGCTAAATCTTAAGAAAAATGTTCCCATTTTTCTGTTTTGTTTTTGTTTTTGTTTTAGAGATGGAGTCTCTGTCACCCAGGCTGAAGTGCAGTGGTGCGATCTGGGCTCACTGCAGTCTCCACCTCTAGAGTTCAAACGATTCTCCTGCCTCAGCCTCCCGAGTAGCTGGATTACAGGCGCCCGCCACCATGCCCAGCTAATTTTTTTTTTTTTTTTGGTATTTTTAGTAGAGATGGGGTTTTTTCTTTTTTGCCAGGGTGGTCTCAAACTCCTAACCTGAGGTGATCCACCCACCTCGTCCTCCCAAAGTGCTGTGATTACAGGCATGAGCCACCATGCCTGGCCTTTTCTTCAGTGAGAGAAACTTTCATTTCCCTTCTGTTTTTGTAGTAACCTTACATATATGAAAGGGAGCAATTTGCTTAACCTAAGTATATGAGGCCCTTTCCTCTCACATATTCTTGCTTTTGACCCAGTTCTCCACACATCCCTCATTCTCCATTTCATGTATAGGGAGGGAAGGGATGTATGTGTCTGTGTGTTCACACTTATTCATTCAATCTCAAATATTGTCGGCTCTATTGACAAGGTTATTCATCTAATAGAAATGAGAAGTAGGTGGGCATTTTCTGCCTCAATTTCCAGGTATTGTCTTCCCCCAGTTAACTTCCTAGCAGAGAACACATTCTCTAGTAATTTTGGTTTTTATTTTGAGACTGTCACCCAAGCTGGAGTGCAGTGGCAGGATCCTGGCTCACTGCAACCTCCACCTCCCAGGTTCAAGCAATTCTCCTGCCTCAGCCTCTGAAGTAGCTGGGACTACAGGTGCGTACCACACGTTTGGCTAATTTTTGTATTTTTAGTAGAGACAGGGTTTTGGCATGTTGGCCAGGCTGGTCTCAAACTCCTGACCTCAGTGATCCACCAGCTTCAGCCTCCCAAAGTGCTAGAATTACAAGTGTGAGCCACCACAGCCAGCCTAATAATTCTTTAGACAAAGATTTTATAGGTAGCTGTGTTTTCCGCTACAACACATATTCCCTCCATTCCAAAATATATGAAGAGTCAGAATGTTCTTACCATAAAAATATGTAAAATACATTACAGAGTCAATCCATCTAGCTTGCTATTCACTCTGACAATGGGATAATTGTGAGAAAACAGGACAGTTGCCTTCTGTGACTGGTGTTATCCTTGAAGATTATGGATACTCACTGAACATCTCTAACTTTAATTAAATACATTGTCAACTACAAATATAAACTTATATTAGAAAAATCCTCTTATGTCAATGGAGACATTCCACATATTCACATATTCCTGTGGGCAAAAAGCCCACAGAAAAATATTTTTGCCCACATTTACCTCATCTAACAAAAGGAACTACTCGCAACAATAGCAAAAATGGTTAAGAAATTATTTTTTTATTTTCTTTAGAGAGAGGGTTTCACTGTATTGTCCAGGCTGGAGTGCACTGGCATAACTCACTATAACCTTGAACTCTGGAACTCCCACTTCAACCTCCTGAGTAACTAGGACTATAGGCATGGATCATCATGCCCAGCAAATTTTTTAATTTTTTTGTAGAGATAAGAGTCTCCCTACATTGCCCAGACTGGTCTGGAACTCCTGGCCTGAAGTGATCTTCCTGACTTATCTCCCAAAGCTCTGGCATTATAGGCATGAGCCACTGTGCCCAGCCTTGTTCCAGTTCTGAGGGGTAATGCTTTCAACTTTTCTCTCTTCAGTGTGATGGTGGCTGTGGGTTTGTCATACGTGGTTTTTATTATTTTGAGGTATGTTCCTTCTACGCCTAGTTTATTGAGGATTTTTACCATACAGGGATGCGGGATTTTATCAAATGCTTTTTCTGCATCTATTGAAATGATCATATGGTTTTTGTTTTTAATTTGGTTTATATGGTGAATCACACTTACTGACTTGTGTATGTTGAGCCATCTTTGCATTACTAGAATGAAAACCACTTGATTGTGGTGAATTATCTTTTTGATATGCCATTCAATTTGGTTTGCTAGTATTCTATTGAGGATTTTTGCATCGATGTTCTTCGGGGGTACTGGTCTGTAGTTTTCTTTTTTTGTTGTGTCCCTTCTTGCCTTCGGTATCAGGCTGAGACTGGTTTTGTAGAATTAGTTAGAGGATTCCTTCCTTCCTGATCTTTTGGAATAGTTTCAGTAGGATTGGTATCAGTTTTTTGAATGTCTGGTAGAATTTGGGTGTGAATCCACCTGGACATGGGTCTTTTTGGTTGGGAGATTTTTTAAATTACTGATTCAATCAAACTGCTTGCTATTGGTCTATTTCTCCCTGGTTCAAGCTTGGGGATTCCAGGAATTTATCCATTTCATCTAGGTTTTCTAGTCTGTGTACATTTAAGTGTTCATAGTAGTCTCAGATGATCTTTTATATTTCTGTGGTATCAGTTATGGTATCTCCACTTTCATTTTTGACTGGGATCTAACAAAAGGAACCACTTGCAACAACAGCAAAAATGGTTGAGAAATTATTTTCTCATTTTCCTTTTTTTTAGAGAGAGGGTTTCAAGTTTATTTGAATCCTCTTGCAGCTAATCCAGCTAGTGGTCTATCATTTTTGTTTATTGCTTCAAAAAAAACAACTTTTAATTTTACTGATCCTTTGTATTTTTTTGGTTTTAATTGTGTTTAGTTCTGTTCTCTGCTTTTTCTTTTCTTCTGCTAGCTTTGGGTTTGGTTTCTTCTTGTTTATCTAATCCCTTGAGGTATGATATTAGGTTGACAATTTGTGATCTGTCTTTGTGATGCAGGCATTTGGCACTCTAAACTTCCCTCTTAGTACTGCTTTTGCTGTATCTGAGATTTTGATAACTTCTCTCACTGTTATCAATCATTTCAAAAAATCTTTTACTTTTTATCTGATTTCATCATTAACTCAAGGATCATTCAGGAGCAGGTTAATTCCTGATTTTTATAGGTTTGAGAGTTCCTCTTCGAATTGATTTCTAGTTTTATTCTGCTGTGGTCTGAGAAAATACTTGCTATTATTTCAATTTAAAAAATATATTAAGACTTGTTTCGTAGTTTATCATATGGCCTATCTTAAAAAATGTGCCACTAGGCCAGGTGCAGTGGCTCATACCTATAATCCCAGCACTTCT